ACTAAACTTCCAGGGTTAATTAGGGTTTACAATATGAAGATGACCTGCAGGCAGTACTTTCAGGGCTTCATCCAGCCTCCATGTTGAAAATACCGGAACCTTTGGAGTGATGGGTGGATGGATGGGTGGGTGGATGGATGAATGGATGGATAGATAGTTGGATGGATGGATAGGTGCGGATGGATGATAAATGGGTCTGTTTGGTGTTTGCCTGGGAATCCAACTCTTCAGTTGACAGTCACCCTCTCTGACTTTGGCGGTAGGTTTTCTTGGTCTTTTCTGCTCCCAGTTCTGTGGGCAAACCTACTAGTTTCTGACAGTTATTTGCCTGTGTATATGACCTGCCTTAAAAAATAACTGATTTAGGTGAAAGTCTGCAGAGCAGACCTGCAGTTTTACATTCAACAATTTCTGCCCCTTCTTCCATCTCATCCACTTAAGTCCCTTCAAGGGACCGTCGGTCGGTCCCCTCCTTCCGCCGTGTCTCCTGTTACCGCTCCCCTTTCGAACCTGCTGCCCTTTGGGAAGGCCCGCGCTTTTGGTCCTCAGTGGGTGATTATGCTGATCTGGGGGGCGTTCATTTCAGGTCTGAACTAAGGGCCATGGTCTTAGGAGTCTCACCTGTCCCTGTCTGACCAGTTAGCTTGGTCTTTCTTGAGTTTGAGCTCTATTCCTGTTTCCCTCCTGTCCCCTTTACTTTTGGGGGCTGGTCTCCATCCCCAGAGGCAGCTTCCATTCAGTGTATTGGGCACCTACCTGCCGGGCACTCTGAGCTGCATGCTTGTGCCCTTGGGCCTTGGAAATGTCCCCTCCCACTTTCCCCCCACCGGGAATTCATTTAGATGGGTGTTGTCCTTTGAGATGGAGCCTAGAATGTTCTTTGCAGTTTTCTGGCTCTTTTCTGTGTTCCACATGAAAAAAAAGTTTACCTTTGAGCGTTTCTAAAGTCGTTTTGTTTCTTCTACCACCATGTAAATATATGTCAGGAGCCTTTCCTTGGTCTTGTGTGTGTGTGTGTGTGTGGGGGGGGGGGGTGTCTATATATAGAGACATACTCTGCTTGACTTTGGAGCACTCGAGGCTGCCTCCTCTCCTCACTCTGGGCATTTTACTCACCGTTGTCTTCTGCTCTCAGCATTGTCTTGATCCCCTCTGAGTTCCTTTCATTTGTTTATTTGCTTTGGGTTTGGGCCTGGGGTCAGCGCTCTCCTCAAATGCCTGGTGTCCTTGGCTGTTTCTGGTACACCAGGATGCACTGCCTCGGGCTGGGCGTGCTAGGGCACCTGCGCTCCCCTGGCATTTTCATGCGGTGCTGGCCGACACGGGGCGAAGGCTCTCTGATTCTGCGCCGGCTTCCTCCCAGTGGGGTGTCCTCCCTTCCACTTTTACATGTGGATTTCATCTCGGCTTTCTTGAAGCTTCCTCAGCCCGCCGCCGGGCCAGGTTCTCCAAGGACAGAGTTATTCCTAACTTCCACGAAAGTAACCTTCTAAAGGTCCCGGGGCCAGATGTTTAACTGCTTTTCCGGTTTTCAACATTTCCCATGGTTCTGACTAACCCCCAGCCCATTAGCAGCACCACACTCCATCTGCCAAATTTGTGTTGGCATCTCGTGCCGGTGTTCTCCTTCACTTTTCTTTGTTCTGGGAGGTCCGCACCTTCTCCCCTGTCCCCCAGGAGAGCGTGTGCACCCATGTATGTGTGTGTGCGCGCGTGTGTGTGCGTGTGCACACACGCTCACTAGTATGCTGGGTGTGTGGGGCAGTGCAAATGGGTGTGTGCTTACCCCAAGACCCACAACTTGATTGTGGTGTTCCCATTGACTGTGGAGAAGTCAGTGGCCCACTCAGGTCCCACAGCTCATGGCGTCCTACCAAGAGGTGAGCCTCCCGACCCCCCAGGGTGTTTGAGCGGAAAGGCCGGAGGAAGCCAGGGGAGAGCCGAGGAGTGGGGGGTGGGGGCCAGTGCTCAGGAAGGAGGCCGGCCTCACGGTGCCTCTGTGGCAGCTGGACCGTCCCTGCTTCCCCATTGACGCCTGCCTGGTGCCTCCAGGGCTGGCTGCCCACTGTTTCCCATCACCTCCTGGGTACAAAGCCTCACCTCCTTCCTACCTGGAGGTATCGCCCTGTGTTTGTCCAGGTTGACTAGAGAAACAATCATGGGAGACTCATGTATAAGAAAGAGCTTTCCATTAAAAGTACTCGTATATTGAGAAAACATCCCAGCCCAGTCCAGAGCAAGTCCATAAGTCTGATGTGAACCATGACATCGAATGCAGGAAGATCACAGGCCAGTGGGTGGGAAGTCTTGTGGAACCAGTGGCAGTGGAAGCATCTCAGCACTGGCAGGGGTCTCCACCTGGCTCCTCCAGCTCCGGGGCTCTGGCTCTATCAGCATAGCTTCGTGTAGCTTGTCAACAGGAATGTGTAGCAGAGAGTGTGGGTCTGGCCTCCGGTGAGCTATTTTTTTCTGTAGCGCCTCCAAATGAGGTCATCAAGCTAAATTCCGCCCCTTCACTCGTAATACCCTCAAGTTGACCACATTGAGTGACCACCACAGTCCCCCTGATGACAAACGTGACAGAAGGTGACATCAGTTACAACAGTTCTCCCAGGTGGCCCCGAGGACTCAGAGCCTGCACTCCCACCTGGGAACCGCTGGGCCAGGCTGGGCGTTGAAGGAGTGCTTCTGCCTGCAGACTGTCACCTCTCGTAAAGATGCTGGTGTGACACGAAGGGAGGACACCGAAGGACTAGCCTCCCAGAGCCTGGCCCGAAGCGAAACACCTTCGCAGGCAGATGGCACAGCAGGGACGGCACCACCCAGGGCTGCTGGTAGACAGAGCCGAGGATGGTGGGAACCCAGTCAGAGAAGGGTCCTCAGGAGGCTGTAGGGGAGGGGGGATGTCAGGGTGGTGAGCAGCAGGACCCGGCGGGGTCCACAGAGGATCGGGAAGCCGAGAGCCAGCCAGGGGGGGGACTGCCTGCTGGAGTGGCTCCAGGTCCTAGTCCCCCGTGTCAGGCAGACCCGTACACCTTAGGGTCTCGCTGTGCTCCTTCTCACAGAGCCTTCTCTGCTTCTGCTCCTGCGTTCTGGAATTCCCTTCTGTTGCTGGTGGAAGCCGGGCACCATCCAGTTCTTTGGGCCTCAGGGTCGGGGGACCAACTCTGTATGGTCCCTTAGTCCCTTGGACTCATTGTGTCCGGATGCTTTTGGTTTTCATCTCTCTCCTTTCCTCTGGACGGAGGGAAGCCCTCAGGGGCACCTTTAGCTGGCTGCTCACGCGCGGTGGGACGGTCTTTCTAGGCTGCTCTCTCAGTGGAAGCACATCTGCAGGCCTTCTCTTCCGAGGTGCTCTCTGCCGCCATCAAGGCCGTGCAGGCCCACAGCAGCCCTGGAGGACAGGGCAGAAACCTCCCTGTGAGTTTCCGAGACGGTCACTTCTGAAAAAGTAGAAAGCCTCCTCTTTCTCCCGAGGAGCGGCTGGTGGCTATGAACTGCCGGCCTTGCAGTTAGCGCAGCTTGTAACCACAAAGCCACCAGGGCCGCCCTGGAGGAAGGCCGGGGACAACAGTCACCCACTGAGCTGGCTGAGCAGTCACTGAAGGCTCCCGCCCAGCAGAGACTCCCGATGTGGAGTCCCTCTGCTAACCAGGGCGCAGAGCCATGCGCCACTGTCCCCCTTCCCCTCATGTCTGTGGGCTATGTGCTGTGGGCGGCATTTTTACAAAGTGTTCCCGGGGTCCCCCCCACCCCACAGCAGCATCTGTGAACCTTAATAGATCAGCTCACCTGTGTGTGGTAGGAAACACCCCACAGGTGACCCTTCTGCAAAGTGAAAGTCACCTTGGGACTAAATGTGCACCGCCAGGAGCCTCTGCCTGTTCACACGTGTAGGGCCTGCTGAGAGCCAGGTTCCGTGCCTGCTTTCTGGGGACAGGGGAAATCAGATGGCCCCAGTGCCAGGTATGTGGCTGTGGATGAGGTGGTCCCGGCCCCCCGGAGTAGGTGGGGGTTGGGCTGGGCTGGCAGGTATAAAGGGATCAGCAAGGGCAGAGCGTGGAAGGGTCAGCTAGCCTGCTCAGAGGCATTTAGTGCTGGTAGGATATCAAGTGGGAGGGGTCCTCTGTGACCAGATAAGCCAGGCCCTCGCCTGTAGCAGCTCAGGGATCCCCCTGGCCTCTATGTGGGACACACATGGGATGAGAAGGTGCCCCCTGCCTGTGGGCACCTGCTGCCCGCTGGGCTGACCTCACCTCTTCCTGACAGCCTCAGCCCCTCACTGGACATATCTCTTCTCCCTCAGCACCCCTTCCTCCTTCACCTTCTCCTCCTCCACTTGCTCCGCCCTCTTTCCTGCCCATCAGCTTGCTTCTGGTGCCCGCCCGTATCCACTGTGCTGACTCTGCAGAACCCCCCGGGCAACTCACAGAGCACAATGGAATGCAGCATTTCCAGCACGGCACAGACACCTGCACCCAGTCCGGTGCTCACGGGGCATGTCGGGCTGGGCTCTGGTGATGGCCAGCTGGCTCCCCCAGGCCATCACGACAGACTGGTGCCCGGGTCCCATGGTCAACAGACAGCTCTGTGAGTGGCCGTATAGATGAAGGTGTAGCTAGGCACTCGCCAGACGTTTCACCAGAGGTCCTGCTGGAGGGTGTTTGGGGTTTGTTGGTTTCGAATCAGAACCTATAGTGCCGAGAATGCCACATGGGTTTAATACACAATGATGAAGCCTATACCTATTCAACCATCATAAAAACCTGCCAGTGGCCAGCACCCTGAAGCCCGTGTCCACCCGATCCCCACCCTCTGCCCTCCACACAGTCCCTGATTTGTGGCCATCGCGCCGGCTTTTTTCTGGGGGGTGAGTGCGGCACACACACCAGTGGATGGATATCCCTTGTCTCTTGTGACTGGAGCCAGGGGGGTGAGGGGCTTCTGCTGTGCAGGTACCTGGGGATGGGCGTGACCTCTGCTGGCCCCTCTCCCCGCAGCACTGGTCATCTATAACTTCCTGAGCCTATGCTACGAGTACCTGGGAGGAGAGAGCTCCATTATGTCCGAGATCCGAGGGAAGCCCATTGAGTGAGTATGCGCCCGGCCCTTGGCTTGCACGCCTCTCCTGGACGAGGGCCAGACCGCTCGCTTGGACCCTAGGGTGGCGGGAGGGGGCCCCTCTCTGGCTCCTCCTTCCTCCCTGTCCCTCTCCCTCTTCACTCAGGCCTTTCCCAGGTCCTTCTTGGGTCTCCCACCTGCAGCCTCCCTACAGCCAATCCCTCTGCAGCCGGCTTCCTGCACCAGTGGGTGGCAAGGCTCCCTTGGGCCTCTCCCTGGACCGGCCCTCAGGCTGGACAGTCCAACCCCTGTGGGGGGGCGGGGCATAGCCTTCCCTACACCCATCTGCCGTGGGCACCAGCTTGCTGCTTACCGCCTGTCTCCCCCTGTGTCTGCAGGTCCAGCTGTATGTACGGCACTTGCTGTCTCTGGGGGAAGACCTACTCCATCGGGTTCCTGCGCTTCTGCAAGCAGGTGGGCCGGGTCTGTCCCTGGGAACCGTAGTTTGTGGGTGGCACCGGAGGCCCCTGTGGCTGTGAGGGCCCCCTGCGGGACTGCCCTGGGCCCCTCCTGTGGAGTTCTCACTTGGCACAAAGCTTCCAGGCCCCATACCTGCTCCTCAAGCTGCGCAGGGCTGCTGGGGCCACGGTGGCCAGGGAGGGTCCGATGCAGCCTGGGGCAGGAAGAACTAGTTTAGACGCTTGCTCCTTTGCTCAGGCCTCAGCGTGTGAGCGAATCAGGGAGTGTATGGGCATTCTAGAAACTTCCCATCAACTGTGGCTGCAGAGTGGGGGCAGGGAGGCTTCTGAATTAAAGACACATGACAAAACAAGCCCATGCATCTGACAGACAGGCCCTCAGCTTCCAGCTCCCTCACCTGTGGCCCCAAGCAACCTGGGTGGAGGCAGGCGGCACCACCAGTAAGCTTGTGACCGTCCGAGCTCAGCCTCTGAGCCACTCAGCCTCTCTGTGTCAGTGACCCATTGCTGTTTGGACAGAAACACCACAGTGGACAGCTAAGAGAAGTTCCTTCTCTCATAATTGGCGGAAGTTCTGTGGTGTGGTTACTCGCTGGGCTGATGACCACAAGGTCATCAGTTCAAACCAACCAGCCAGCTTCACGGGAGAAAGACGAGGCTTTGTGCTCCCATAAAGAGTTACAGCCTCAGAAACTCCAGGGACAGTCCGACCCTGTCCTATAGGGTCCCTGTGAGTCAGAATTGACCAGATGGCAGTGAGGCTGGCCGCTGGTTCTCACACTGGAAGAGGCCGGGAGTCGGACTTTGAGCACTGGCTCTGGGTCAGCCCCCTCCATTTGCATCGGAGAGGGTCTTGTTTCCCTTCGCCTGGGGCCCTGGGTTTCTTGACCTGCACTTGTTTCCACCTCAGTCTCCCTGGGTCTGGGGGCTCTCATTGCAGGGGTACAGGGTTCCAAGGATGTGCTCTGCTCCCTCCTGGATCGTCTTCCTGATGGCTGTCAGGTCACCGCCCCCCATCACTTTTCTCTCCCATAGCGCTTGTAGAAAACCTCTGCCCATGTCAGACCAGGGGTGCTGCCTCCTGGACACAGTGTGGCTGTCAGGTGCCATTGAGTGGGTTCCGACCCACAGCGCCCTGTGCACAACAGGGAAACCCGGCCCGGTGCTGCCCAGCCTCACAGCTGTTCCTGTGCCTGAGCCCGTGTGGCAGCCACCGTGTCCCTCCGTTTCCGCGGGGGCCTTCCTCTGCCCCTTTACTTTCCCAAGCTTGACATGTCCGTCTCTGGGGACTGGTCTCTTCTGACAGCAGGTCCAAAGTGTGTAAGATGCTGTCTCACCACCCGTACCTCTAAGGAGGACACTGGTCCAACTCATTAACCCACAGAAGTCAGGATTTACAACACATCACAATGGAGGATGATTAGATCGGGAGGGGGGTGGTTTGTATAATAGCTACATGTTCACAGAACTGCCAGACCATCAGGCATCCTGGCTTAACCAAGTGGGCACATACTTATGGAGGGCACAGTCCAGTTCATGGCCCCCTGAGCTATGAACTATGTCCTCTGTGGGGTGGGCCCACAGAGCTCAGCTCCTAGGAGATCCTCAAAGGGGGGGTGCCCAGCATGGGAAGCATGGAGCGCAGCGACTGGCATGGGCACGCACACACCACCGTATCAGGTTCAGGGGGCCACACCCAGCAGGCGTAACCTCAGCCTCCGCAGCGTCTCCTTAGGGCCTATCTGGAGGGGACAGGAAGCCCACAGCTGCTCGGGGCTAGCCCTCAACTCCTCCCTGGCCAGACACCCCAAGCCTGCTTCCCTCCTCCCAGCCCTTCCTCCACTGGGTGGCCACCCTCCGAGTCTCCCCTCTGGAACCACAGGGCCAGGGTTAAAGTCTGCACGCAGGGTGGGGCCCTCAGCCATTGTTGACCCTGCTTCCTGGCCTGGCTGTGACTCACTGCCTGGTGCCATGGCTACACCAGGCATGACCGCTAGCTCCCTCAAGTTGCCTGGACTGGAGTCTAAACTGCCCCCAGTTCCGTGGGCCCAGGGGCCACTGTCGCTGTTCCTGGCGGGGCAGGAAAGTGAGGTCAAGTCTTGCCTTTCCCGAGCAGAGCCTGAGGGACAGGAACAGCCTCCGGGACCAGCCTCTCCTAGGTCTGCTGGGCCAGCCTGGATTAGACCCACTGTCTTGAGCTCCGGGACCTGGTAGCTTTCTGGGTGGCCTCCCCGCTGCCTCCCACCCCCAGCCCTCATTAACTGAGCCCTGAATCTGAATCGGGGAGCCTGCTGGTGGGAACACTTAGGCGCCTGCAGCCACTCGTTCTTCTCAACCGTAGTCTTCCCATCTGTGTGGTGGTGAGGTGCACAGACGAAACACTGCCCGGGCCTGCGCCGGCCTCACAATGGTTCCCGAGCCCGAGCCCCTGGGTGCAGCCACCCCGTGTCCGTCCATCTCTTGGAGGGCCTTCCTCTTTTTCACAGCCCCTCCTCTTTACCAAATATGAGGTCCCTCTCCAGGGACCGTCTCTCCCAACATGTCCAAAGTATGGAGACAAAATTCCGCCATCCGCACCTCTAGGGAGGAGCCCCCTGGTGTTCCTCTTCCAGCAGATCCGTGTGCTCTGCTAGCGGTCCGTGGTACTTTTAATATTCCCTCCAGCACCGCGGTGTGAAGGCATCGCTCCCCTTCTTTGCCTCTCATCGGTAGCGTGGGGTTGTTGACAGGTCTGACACCACGGCTGCTGGGAGGGGGTTCCACAGGCTTTCTTCCCGGCCGCGGGGTCCCTGTCCCCTCTCGAGTCACACTCTTCTAGCGTCTTCGTTTTCGAGAGGATGACTCAGGTGGTCGCTTTAGTTTCCTGAAAGCGGGGCTCAGTGAGGTCTTTATGGACTGGGCTGACGTGAAAGGCCCTGAGACGACCCACCACGCTGTCACCTTTGGTTCCCACAGCAAGTACCCCATGCCACCGTGTTGGCCACGGCCACCACACCAGGGAGCCTCTGTTCAGAGGTTAGCGATGACCACGGGCATTCTGGCAGGCGACCTGGAATTGGAACTACAAGTGCAGGCGTCCACGGGCAGGGGCCGCTTCCCTCTCCCCACTGCACGCCCCGCTGGGTCGGCTCCATGCCTGGCCAGACCCCATTGCTCAGCCTCAAATGGCAAGGAGGGAGAGAGGCCAAAACCCACCTGTGCCCTGTGGGCGGCTTTGTGAGCAGGGCCCTGGCCGGTGCCCAGTCCTTCCAGTCTCGAGCTGGTCCTGCCCGTCCTACCTGGCAACCCGAGCACCCTGCACTGTCTCCACCAGCCTTGGCTCAGGCCACTCCCCCTCGGTGTGTGTGTGGGTGTGTGGGTGGGTGGTGGGGGTTCCTGGCCCTTCTCTGCCCAGGAATCCTTCTCCGATGAGCCAGCCTGTGCCTCATTCACCCTGCCTCTCCCCCCTGGCCCCTGCTGGCCTCGGGTGGGCTCACATTTGTGTCCTGACGGCCCCCTCTCCCAACAGGCCACGCTGCAGTTCTGTGTGGTAAAGCCACTCATGGCCGTCAGCACTGTGGGCCTGCAGGCTTTCGGCAAGTACCGGGACGGTGACTTTGAGTAAGCAGTGGGGCAGATGGGTCTGGGGGTAGGAGGTGGGGGTAGGTGGGGGTGGAGGTGACCTTTGCTCAAGGGAGGGTGCTGCAACTGGCATACACCACGACTTCCTGTGAGTGGAGGAGGCAGGATGGCCCCGGCCCCTCCCTCACCTCCCTGCACAAGCCCCGAGGTCCTCAACGCCTGTCCCCTGCACGGACAGGCTGGGCCAAGAAGGTTCAGTGAGTGGGCCAGACTGAGTCCCTGCACTCCCTGACAGTGGTTTGCACACACCTGTCTGAAGAGGGGGACCTTCAGTCACAGCCTCCCCACACTTCTGGATGCCAGCCAGCGTCCGTGTGGGGCGAGTGAGGAGCCTGAGCCTCAGAGAGGGGCCGGAGCCCGCCCAGGGGGGGAAAGCAGGGCCAAGCACAATGTCACTGCCTTGGTTGGTGTCTTCTGCCTGAGTGGGTTCGTGTATCCCCATCCCAGGCCTCCAGTACTGTGCTAACTTCCATGGCACCATCCCGGAACATCAGGAATGCTTCCCTCTCCCCTACCAGGACCCCCCTCCTTCCCAACATGAGCCCCACTCCCACCAAGAACAAGACCCTCCAGAGTCCCTTCCTTCCCCACATGAACCTCCCCTCACTGAGACCCCCCTGCCCTCCCAACATGAGCCCCACCCAGCACAACCCCCACGAGCCCCCACACCCCAGCAGGCACCCTCCTCTGTCCCCCCAGGAACATGGGCATCAGAGCTGGGGGCAGCAGCTAGGCAGGTCCTTGAGCAGCGGGGCAGGGCCCCTGCCCCACCTTGGTGACTTGCAGAGCAAGACAGAGTGTGACAGAAGGTGGGCGTGTGGCAGGGAGGAGGAGGGCAGACCTGCCCCCCCACCAAGCAGAGCTTGCTCCCCGCTCCCGCAGCGTCTCCAGTGGCTACCTCTACGTGACCATCATCTACAACATCTCCGTCAGCCTGGCCCTCTACGCCCTCTTCCTCTTCTACTTTGCCACCCGGGAGCTGCTCAGCCCCTACAGCCCTGTGCTCAAATTCTTCATGGTCAAATCCGTCATCTTTCTCTCCTTCTGGCAAGGTGAGCCTCCTCCCAGCAGCGCCCACCCAAACTGGGTCTGGGTTTCTGGGGTCTCCTGGAGGCCGGGCTTTGCCGCAGTATAGACCCCACCCTGCCCTCACTGGGCTCCGTGGGCTTTCGAGGGGGCTGCACAGAGGAAGGTGGCCTGGGAAGGGGTCTAGCCTGGAGTCAGACACCTGCATGCACACACACACCCATCCCCCAGGTATGCTCCTGGCCATCCTGGAGAAGTGCGGGGCCATCCCCAAGATCCACTCGGCCCGCGTGTCGGTGGGCGAGGGCACCGTGGCTGCGGGCTACCAGGACTTCATCATCTGCGTGGAGATGTTCTTTGCGGCGCTGGCCCTGCGGCACGCCTTCACCTACAAAGTCTACGCGGACAAGCGGCTGGACGCGCAAGGTAAGGACCAGGGGCCCCGTGGCCCCGCCCCAGGCCATCCTGCCTCCCGGGATGGGAAGACTCTCCCCTCCTGCACTCACAGGAAATGGACCAATGACACAGATGCTCCCTCTGGCCACTTGGCAGGGGTCGTGGGGCCAGGAGGGTCCTGTTCTGCAGTTTGTCAGAGCCCCTCCTGTCCCCTCTTGCCAGCACCTCGGACACTGAGCCTGGCCATGTCTCATGATTTGTGGCTGGTCCCGTGCTGGAGCCCACTTGAGACAGTGGGGCAGGGACCCTGGAGAGTAGACAGGGTGTTGATGGCTGTCCTATGACTTTCAGTCTCCTCGTCTTTAAAAGTGGGTTATTTCTAGAAACATACTCAGACGGGAGCACTTTTAACTGCCCTCCTTTCCTGCCTCACGTCTGCCAGTGTTTGAGGACCAGGCCTGGGGGGGACTCTGCTGCCCTCACCCCGGGTTATGTTAGCATGTCCTGGGGTCCCCCGACCTCAGCGCTGCTGACGGCACTCACTGGGTTAGCTCTGGGCGGGTGTGGGTTGACAGCTCCCTAGGGAATTTTGCGGGAGGAGCGGGCAGCAGGAGGGCTGGCCTGGTGGCTGCCGAGCTCGTCTCCTGGTCATCCTGCAGCTGCCCAGTGAGAAACTGGAGAGAGGCCCCTGGGCCGGCACCTCCATCCCCACAGGAGCAGCCACCAGTGGCCTGAGACTGGGCTGCATTGAGTGGATGCATGGTCAGGGGCTCCAGACGCCCAATCCTGGCCCTCCCCTGGTTAGCCAGGACAGGGTGGAACGGCCCCTGTGGGATGGAAAGGCCCATCCTTCTGTGCAGAGTGGTGGGTTTTGAACTGCTGACCTTGCAGTGAGCAGCCCAGCTCGTAGCCACTGTGCTGCCAGGGTCAATGCCAGGGCTGTGGGGTGTGCCAGCTGGAGGTCGGTCACTTTTCAGTTCTTGATGGTGCCAGGTGTGCTATGCTGGCTGGGGCTCACTACGGCCTCTCAGTGCCCATTAGAAGGGCCAGCGGACACTTCTACAGGGTTGAGGACAGTGTCCCCTACATGTGGCCCTGGCAGAGCCTGTGTCCTTGGGAAACCATTCAGTAACACACACACACACACACACACACACACACACAACCCCATGGGGTAAAGTACAATGCCCTAGCCCAGCCGTCAGGGGAGCTAAAGCTGCCCCTTGCCTCGCCTGCCCCTGCCAGTGCCCAGCCTGCCTTGGCCCCCAAGCAGGCCTGGATCCATAGCTGGCCCTGCACCTGTGTGACCAGGCCTGAGGAGAGGGGCCAGGGTCTGTCTTGGGTACTGTCTGGACTTGAGTCATCAGTTTGGGAGGGGGTTCCCTCAGTTTGCTCTGTTCTCTTTCCACACCCTGAAAAGGACGACCCTGGGAGCCAACTCTAGGCCCAGGGTGGGGTGGGGTGGGGGATGGGGTGTCTGGCGTGCTGGCCCGGTGGGCTAGGCGGGTGTCGCTCACTCAGTTCTCTCTTCTCTGTTTCTCTGGCTTCTCTCCCCACCTCCCCTCCTCACCCCCCGCCCCCTGCTTATTTTGGCTGCGGGCAGTGCCAACGTACGGCCCTTACGGTAGGTCCACCCTTGGTCTGCACGTTTGTCCTGCACGCCAGCCCTGGTTCCCTGCTGTCAACAGCATGCCCCTGCTCCTGTTCCTCGTCTGTGTCCCCTGTCTTCTCCCCCAGCACCAACCCGTCATGATGATACCATTCTCCCAGGAGGCTTTGCGCCCCCCCGTCCCGGGGGCTCACAGGCCCCACTGTCTGTTCGGCAGTTACCTGGAAGAGCGAGTCACATTCCAGCAGAAGTCCTGGGTTCCACTGGGCTTTGTGGTGTGGGGGTCATTGGTACCCTCCGAGCCTGGGGAGTGAGGGGGACTTGTCCATGAGGGGTGGGGGCACATAAGCCCGGGGAATGAAGCTCTTGGCCCTCAGACTGCTCAGTGTCCTTCTGCTGAAGTGCCATGCCCCCAAGCCTTGTCCTGTTTGGGTGGGACTTGGTCTCTGGCTACTCCAGACACCAGGCTCACAGGCCGGCACCTGAGGGTGCTGGGCTCATCTGTCCGCAGGCCAGTGTCTGGGGCTGTCTTAGGAGTCCCAGAGCTTAGGGACCGGCCAGTATCTACCCAGGGCCCTTGAACCTGCTGCCATCATCCTAGCCGGGAACCCTACTCCCCTTTGCCTCCCTGGGGGACTCCTTGCTGCCCCTCATTGTGGGCCCCATCCCCAGCCAGCCAAAGGAGGCCTTTCTGGCCACTGCCCCCTCCCCCAGGTGGAGTGACCCTCCCGAGGGTGGAAGGTGGCCCTTGCTCAGCCGCCCCGCCTCCCGCCCACAGGCCGCTGCGCCCCCATGAAGAGCATCTCCAGCAGCCTGAAGGAGACCATGAGCCCCCACGATATCGTGCAGGACGCCATCCACAACTTCTCGCCCGCCTACCAGCAGTACACCCAACAGTCCACGCTGGAGCCTGGCCCCACCTGGCGCGGCAGCGCCCATGGGCTCACACGCTCCCACAGCCTCGGCGCTGCACGGGACAACGAGAAAACGCTGCTGCTCAGCTCAGACGATGAGTTCTAGGCACAGGCGGGCTGCCGGGCACAGCAGCTGGACTGCCTAGGGTGGGCCCCCTGCCAGCCTCATGTCCAAGCCGAGCTGGGTCAGCCCTGTCATGTCTTGGACCAGACGTATCACTTCCAGAGGAACCGCCAGCTGCCCAGAGGGCGCCTTCAGGAAAACCTCCCCGGGGCCACCCCTGAGCACCTGTTCCAGGGTAAAGGCCCGCAGGGCGGGGACCCCCCAACCCCCACCTCACCGCAAGCACGCGCACGTCCTGTGGGGCACTCATAGGACCAGCCACATCCAGGCCCACATGCTTCCAGATGCTTAATGGACTAGCGGGTGTGGGCTTCAGGCCCCACCCCAAGATTACTCCCTCCCTCAGACTCTCACACTGAAATTTGAGGCCCCAGCCTCTCCCTGCCCTGTCCCCAGCAGCTGTGCAATATTTGACCCAACTCTCCCTGACTGCTCCCTCCCCACCCTCCTGGCCCAGTGCTCACCCAAATCACAGGGCAGGACTGGGGCAGGGCACAGGCTCTTTGGGGACTTCCCCTCCCCCCTATGCTGCAAGGATCAGAGCCAGACCCTAAGGGCCATGGTCTGCCTCGGCCCCTCTTATCTTGACCGGACCTCTCAGAGAGGGGCCTTCTGCCCGGCTGTCTCTTCCTTTTGCCCTGCTGCAGCCAGCCAGCAACCCCCCAGCCCTCTCCTGGGGGGCCCCTCTTCCCAGCCCCCCGGTTCTCCCCATTTCAGAGGAGAGGTTCTTGCGTCTCAAGCCAGCCTTGAAGGAGTCCAGGCCCCGGACGGGAGGGGTTGGGCCTGCTGCGGGGAGTGGGGCGGCCCCCACCCACGGAGCACCGCTGACCTGCCCCATCCGGTCCCTCCCTGTTTCTTCTGTGCCTTAGTCACACGTGAAAGCTCTCCCTCCCCGGGCCCATCTGCCACAGACCTTCCCGGGGTTGCTAGTCAGCTCTGGCTCTTGGTGGCTCCTGCAGTGCTGGGCTTCCGAAGGAGCCGGGAGCACCAGCGCCCCCCTGCCCTTGTCCCCTCCCAGGACCAGTCCCCAGGCAGGCCAGGCTTCCATGGGGCACTTGCTGTCTTGGGAAGAGTCTCCCATGTAAGGCCTCTTCTTATGACAGAACATCCCCTTGTTTGAGACCCAGAGGACATCTGGGTTTGGGCTGTGGCCACCTGGGGTGGGGGTGGGGGGCTGCCTGTGGAATCAGGACTTTGCTATGAACCCCTTTAGACCACTCTGGAGGGAACAGGCAGCCCTATGGAGAAAGGATTTCTGGGCCTTGTGGCCAAACCAGCCCTTGGGGGTGGGGGGTTGTCCATGGACCCCTGTGGGTGGGGTGCCAAAGCCCACCCCCAAGGCAGGTGGCAGGTAGGTGCAGGCCGTCAGGGCGAAGCTTGGAGCCTGCTGCCACTTGCCTCCACACTGTCTCCTTGCCTCCCCGTCCTCCTTCCAGGCCAAAGTGGGTCTCGAACTCACTGCCCTTGGTCTTGCCCCACCTAGCACCGGCCCACTGGCATGGTAGGGTGGGGAGCTGGTGGCAGGAAACCAGCAGGCCCCAGAGAAATGGGGGCTTGGGACAGGGGCCCACCTGCTCCATGTCCCCATTCCTAGGAAACCTACCTTGTCTTTATTCTTTAAAAAAAAACAACAAAACATTCCCGCCCCAAGCTAGAGTAGTTCTTTGTACGTAAAGAATACTTGACACCTTCCTTGTACTCGTATGAGAAACCAGAGCCCCTAGTTTTGTATCTCGTGTGTGCCTGTCAGGAGTGCCACCAGAAAACCGCTCTATTTTGGTCCCTGTGACATTTTAAATGCGCGACAGACGTGAGCAAATAAAGTGAGAAAGGAATATATATCTGAGAACATACAGACGTCACGGAAATCTCTCTGCTTGCGGGGCAGGTTTTCCTTGGGGAGGGGGCAGCGGGGTCTTCAGAGGCCCTTCTCCTCCCTGTGTGTCCTGAGTAGGTTATGGGAAGGGGGTCAGGCCCCCATTGGACAAAGTGTCCCCCCTCCCCTCCCAGCCGGCCGCCAAGGTGCTCACGGGGAGGGTCTCCCCTCCCCATGAAGGCTGGTATGCATTTGGGTAGCAGGGCTGGCAGAGGCTGGACAGGGGTGGGGTTGGGGGTGGGCTTCCTCAGCACTCACAGGCCTTCCAGGGAACCTCTAGGTGCCCCGCGGGAGGGAGGGAGGGAGGGAGGCAGGCCAGCCACTGCTGACAGGACCGTTCAGGAATGTGCGTGGGTTGGGAAATTCCCAGCCGCCTCTGCCTGGAGGTAAATAACCGGACTACAACAGGCCTTACGTAGTCTGCCCTTCCACCCGCTCAGCGGCCCTAGGTTTCAGATCACCGGCCTGATGGGGGCAGCCTGAGCCTGGCCTGAGCGGGGACAGCCGCTGGACCAGGCCTGTCCCTTCTATATGCAGCCTGACCTGTCCCTGCCAGCCCGCCATCCTCCACAGGTCGGAGCTCCCCCAACCCCGACTCCCCGCAGGTCAACAGAGGCACCCCTTGTTGGCCACGAACCTACGTTTGACTTGACTCCGTGTTAAAGAGTCAAACTGCCCCCTAGGAAGCACTGGGGGTGGGGGGCGGTGGGCTGTCAGGTAAATATTGTGACTGTGAACCTCAAGATTGGAGCCTGGGCGGTGTTAGTGGTCACAAGTTGAGCTGCGATCCTCAGGGTCGGCAGTTCGAAGCCACCCGCAGCTCCTCGGGAGAAAGACTGGGCTCTCTACTCTCATCAGCAGTTAGTCTCGGAACCCCACCAGGGCTCACTGTGTGTCAGCATGGCCTCAACGGCAGCAGGTTTTGGTTTTGGAACCTCGGGGTTGGAGGTTCATGCCCACCAGCCGCTGGGAGGGCGTGGCTTTAGAGCCTCGGGAAACATCGGGTCACCCTGAGTTGGGATCCACTTGGTGGCAGTGGGTTTGGCGTTCATCTCTATTGGAGCAGAAATTCAGCCCTCGCTCGCCCACTCACTCTTTCTCGTGCTGCTGGGTGGGTTCAAACCGGCGACCTTTTGATTAGCTGGTCATTATGCTGCCCGGTTGAAGTTTGTTGTTGAATCCATGTTGATTCTTACAGATCCGTGTGACACACAACTACCCTGAGGAAGGGCAGAAACCCCAAACCCGGCTCACTGCCACCAGTCGGCACCGACTCATGGCGACCCCCTTTTTTCTAGGCCAATAAGGGGCTGGCAAACTCTGCCTCTTGAGCCACAACTCCGTCTCTCGGTATGTACATGCAGCTCTGAAAACACTGGAAACGTGTGAAGGGTTTAATTTGTTTTTAAGGTTCTTCAGATCATGGAGATTTCAACAGACTGACGTCTCTTGGATCTTAAACTTGAGGGCCAGGATGGACTCTTCTAGCTCAAGTTTGCCAACCCTGGTCACGGGCTTCGTGGCCTGTCATCCACATGGAAGCAGGTTGCCACGGCTGTCCCAGTGGCTTGGCTGAGGTTTTGAGTTGCGTCTTTGAAGGTCACACAGCTAGGGTGACCTGCGCTGGGTTCAAACCCTGCTTTCTCTGATCTACGGTCCCTAGCCCCCACCCCCACCCCTCATTCCTTCTCAGGGTGCCTCAGAACGCCTACTGTCCTGGGTTGTAATACCAGTGGGTTTGGAGCCCCGAGGACGAAGTGCGGCCCTTTCTTGGTGGGCCCGAACAGACTGTTTCCCTGCCCCTCTCCCTTGGCCTTCTGGAACATGGGGAAAATATCCTCTACTTGGCGGGGCAGGATCAAACCTTGAGGTAAAAGAGCTGGAAAGATTGCTCCGACATCTGGGACGTTCCCCCTTTGGGCAGGACTGTTTGTTGGTGCAGAAGGGATGCTCAGGGAGTGCACCCCTCAAGGCCATGGTCCTTGGTGAGATGGCTCCACTGTCCTCACCTTCTGGCCCTGGGGACGGGAGGAAGACCACAGGTTTCAGCCCTTCCTGCCACCACCCCCTTCTCCCTAAGGCCGGAAGTTAAGCAAAACAGGGCCAGCTTCCCCGCAAGGATCCTCGCTGGGGTTCAGGGTATACCTCAGTTTTTAAGCCCCTCCCCTGCAGAGCCCCCTGCCCGCCCCCCTCCCTAGTCCAGGACATACACGGTTCTCTGTGGAAAAAGAGAATCTGACTTTATTCAGAAAGTCTACAAAATACAGAAGGCGGATAACTCGCACACTGTCAGTCAGAAAATAAATAAATTTGGGGAGCCGGGCAAATATTTTTTTGAAACTTTTTTTGGTTCTCATTAGCGTCCGGCTTTCCCGAAATATAAGATGAAATGTGATTTATTTGCAGATATAAAATATAAAGTCCAGCTCCGGGCCACCACATGCCTTTCTCCAGGTAGTGGGCGCTAGGGATGGCCCTGGCTGGGGAGAATAACTTAGATTCGTGCAATAAATAAAGAAAGGGGGGAGGAACAGCTGAATACAGTGTTGGGAGAAGGGTGGGGCTGGGACGCCACCAACCCCCCCTTCCCCCTTGCAGGAAAATGGCAAGGTCTGGCTCAGCCTCCAGCCCACAGTGGACACTCCCAGGGGAGAGGCAGCCACTCCCTTTTATGGACACCTCCCCTTGCTGTAGTAGGACATCACAATCTGTCTTCTTGTTCCCCATCTTCCCCTTATTCACAGTGGTCCCTTCCAGGGCCCCCCTCTCTGGCTAGCCAGCTCCCTGGCCCATACTCTGGGCAGCCTGGTGCAGTCACATCGGAGCACCCTGGCTGGCTCCTCCCCCCTTCCTCTATCACTTCCTCTCTCCTTCTTCCCTTCTTCCAAGCTTCACCTTTTTCACTTCCTGTCTTCTGCCCATTCCCCCCGGGAAAAAAACAAACCACAGCTAGAATCTTGGGGCAGCAATGGGAAGACGTGGCTTTTGGCTCCGGCAGGACCATGAAGTGACATGTGGCCTTACGCACAGTCATGTCCACTGGTAGCTTCAGTGTCCCCATCTGTTAACTGGGCTGTTTCACTAGGTGACTTCTGCCCTGGGCAGAGGGAGGGTCTCACTCAGCCAGGTAGCCCCCCACCCAAGGACAAGGCCAGAGCCTAGTCTGAAATCCTGAAGCACTGGGAGGGAGGGGGGACATTGGCACCATCTGAAGAGATTACAAATGAGGCAGGCCGTCCTCCCCCCACCTCTTCTCCGAGCTGTCTTGCCCCCCCCACTCATCATCCTACTGATCATGGCTCTCCCCACGGCTATTGGCCCTACTTCCGGGGGTCACAGGAAGACGCCAAACCCTGGGAAGGTCTGGTGGCGGCAGAGCTCCGGGGCCTGGGGCTGAGACCTCGCTTAGGCACTTTGGAAGGTGGGCAAGGGGTTGACGGGGGCCAGGTTGGAGGGATGGGGTGGGGCCGGGTGGGCGGGGCGGGGACTAGGAACAGGCGGCGGGGGCGGGGCCTGGCCCGGGGGCGGGGCCCGAGCCGGGGGCGGACTTGACGATGGTGATGACGCTGGCGGGGGCCACGAGCGCGGCGGGCCCGCGGGAGGCGGCCACGGAGCGCGCGAAGCCCTGCAGCGCCTCGCACTTGCCGCGCAGCGCGTCCAGCTCCAGGCGCATGGCGGCGTTCTCGCGCGCCAGCTTGTCCACCTCGCGCTCCAGCTCCGACTTCTGCTTCTGCAGCTCCTCCTTCTGGCACACGCGCTTCACGCGGCAGCTGGCGGCGTAGCCGCGGTTCTTGAGCGTGCGGCGCCGCTGCTTGAGCCGCGTCACCTCCTCGGCCGAGAGCCCGCGCAGGTGCCGGTTGAGCTCGCGCACCGACAGCCCCATCAGCGCCTCGTCCGACAGGTGCGGCGTGTTCTCGCTCAGCTCGCGCTTGATCTGCGGGCAGCGGGGAGGATGCATGGGGAAACTGAGGCTCGGGCACACTTCCCCTGCGCCCTCACCCAGCTCAGGCAACATGCTGGTACTGGGCAGGACACCTTTGATCTCCTCCTCTCCCCTGGCATCCTTCACCTCCGGAAACACTTGGGGGAGGGGGACCTGGACAAGCCCCCCACTCCTAATCGGAGAGAAGCCGAAGATGGAAAAGCGAAAGACCCGGTCAGATGGGCTCCGAACCCATTCAAGGATTCCGTGCCCTGCAGGCCCGGCCTCAGCCAGAGAAACCGGCCTGGAAAGCCCCTTGGAGGACCTGCTGCCCAGTAGGGGATGTCCCGATGGGGAAGCAGGTCCAGAGAGGGAAGTGACCTAGCCAGGGGCACAAAGCCTGTGACCAGAGCCCATCAGGAGCGCCTGATGCCTGCTGAGCCACCCTGTGTGTGTGTGTGTGTGTGTGTGTGGGAGTGGGGGGGGGCTCTTGGAACTAGGGACGTGGGAAGGGATAGGAGGCTCCTGGCTGGGGGTGAGAGGGGGCTAGAGCAACAGCGGCCTACTTACCTTCAGGGCTTTGCTGGACAAGGGGTCCACAGACATGCTGGCAGGCGGTGCCTTCTTATCAGACCTAAGAGATAGAAGAGGCCAAGGTCACGAACCCCACAGAAGTAGAAAAAAATCCAAACTTGGGCTTACAGGCCCCTGCCTGTCTCAATATGTACACCACCTTCCTGTGCCAGGGGTGCAGCCAGTGTGCCCCCCCTCGAACTGCCCCTTCCAGCCTCAGGGCCTTTGCACATGCTGCTTACATCCCCTTTCCCTTTCCTTCTGTCTCTACACAGCAGCTGTTGGTCACTGAGGTCTTTGCCCAGGGACCAGCTCCTCAGAGAGGTCTTCCCTGGCCAAACCAAACCAAACTCACCAGTACTGACTGGGTGGACCCTTAATAGGACGGTGGAGAATTGCCCCTGTGGGTTTCCAAGATGGTCACTCTTTAGGGGAGTGGAAAGCCTCCTCACAAGGTGGCTGATGGTTTCGAACTGCTGACCTTGTGTGAGCAGCCCAACTCGTACCCGCTCTGCCACCACGGCTCCACCACGGCTCCTCTTCCTGCCGTACCGTGTTGTTTAAGTCTCACATGCTGATCCCCCACAGGACGAGGGAATTGTTGCCCCCCAGGAGGGCCGGCTTCACTGGGACAGATCAGCACGTCTTTCTCCCCAGGAGCTGCTG